TTAGTTACGTACGAGGTCGGACGGAGAAGAAGAGAGAGAAGGACGGTACGTTCGTACCAACTAACTAACGACGACGAGTTAGTTAGTAGTAGAGTGGTCGTCTCTCTCTCTCTCTCTCTCTCTCTCTCTCTAACTTCAACGGCCATGGCCGATTACAAGAATCATTATACCAACCTGCCTCTCTCATCCACAAATACCCCATTAAAAGAGAGGATTCATAGGGAAGAACTTGCAGAGAACGAAGAGAAGATCGAATTTTGAGAGGAAACAAAAGAGAGTAGAGTGGTTTCAAAGACAGAGGGAAGAGAGATATAGAGAAGATACAGAGAGTGAAGAGAAGGAAAAGATTGTTAGTAGAGAGCGAGAAGTGATACAAAATTCGAAGGTTTCCGAAAAACCAGTTGATACAGAGGGAAGAGAGGTTGAAAGGAGAGGTGATACAAAACCAGAGAGAAGAGGAATGGGCAACAGCCTGAGGTGTTGCATTGCATGCGTCCTCCCCTTCGGTGCGCTCGACGTGATCCGCATAGTCCATTGCAATGGTCGAGTTGAGGAGCTGAGCGGCTCGATACGAGCGGGTGAAGTCATGAAAGCAAATCCGAAGCACGTCGTCAAACCCTGTGTTCCGAACCTTGTTCAAGGGATTGTGATCCTCCCCCCTGATGCCGAGCTAGAACGTGGGGAAATTTACTTTTTAATCCCTTTCTCTGCCCTCGGTCTAGAGAAGCATCACACCAAGCCGACCAAAATGGCAAAAAAGAGGAAAGATAAGAAGGATTTGGAAATTGCCCGGAATCCAGTTGCCGGAAAACCAGAACCAGGTGCTGGTAAATCAAATGATCGGTACTTAACCGACATTTTAACAGAGAAAAGAGGCAGCCATCGAGATCGGAGGAGGGGGAGAGTTGCAGTTTGGAGACCTAATCTAGAGAGCATCTCTGAGGGCATGTCTGAGATTTTATCAGATTTTTGAGGTCAAAATGGCCCTTCTCGCCACCGGATTATTGCCGGGAATTTTTTGTCAGCCCCAAAATGGATATCTAATTTTTTTTTTTTAAATTGCAAATTGTGGATAGAAAGTGTAAATATTGATTGCAAATACATCCCTGTTCTCCCTTATGCACTCCTTTCTCTCTTTCTTTTGAATTTCCCAATTGGAGAATTCATATTGTAGAAATGTCCCTCATTTACAATGTGCCCCTGGATCCCGTGCCTTCTCATAATGGATGGTGATAAGCATTAGATCTAATCAGGATTCTAACTTTCTCCGTGAAATCTTAGCGTCCATTGTGAGATTTAGGACCTGGGAAGGTCTCTCTACATTGCTAATATAGGCATAATTTGTCATGTTGTTTTCTTTTCATCATCTTGAGGCAAATTTGAATCAACATACTTATCTCAATTGTATCTCAATTGTATGTTATAGAAGTGAGGGGCCCCTCAAAAATTTATATGAAAAGGTTGTTATGACATCCAATTACCTTCCAATTAATCATATAGATCTTGAGCCGTATGGATATGAAAAAAGAAATCAAAAGATTTCAAGTTTTAAAAATAATACATCCTGCAACACATTTCTAAATGTTCATTTTCAAGATTTCTAAATGTTTATAGATCCACATCATGAATAAGTTGCTGAAATTACATCTTTCGGCAAAGTTTAAAAGTATGCCTTACTTTTGATTTTTGTTAGAATATGCGTTTTACATAGACTGCACCTACTATTCTTGTCTATTCTTAATGAAAATAGTGGGACACGGTTTTGGTGAGTCAGTCGACTCACCTATTATTGTGCGGGCCCTTGTCTATCTAACATCCATCTCTAACATGGATATCAAACAATGTTACATCCACTAAAATTTAAAATGGACGATGAAAAAAGGAATTCAAAAAATAATATCATTATTTTTTGGAAAAACAAATACAAAATTTAGATCATTGTCATGGTTGATATTATTGAATTCTAAAATTTTGGATAAAAAATACATGATATATTTTGTTGGGAGACCACACAAGAATAATGTGAGTCGGCCCGCTCACCAAGCACTTCTCCAAAATCGTGTGCACAAATACATAAGGAATTTTTTTACAGTAGGGAATCAGATGCAATGTTTTTGTGCTTCGAATTTCGTTAGAGTCAAGTTGGGAACTTAATTTTTGGATTTCGCACCAAATTGACCGAAATTTCGGTTTCGGTGAAAACTTAAATAATTAATCAAAATCGAAGTTAATTTGGGGCCTCTGTTTTAAATTGGTAGACCGTGCCAAAAAGAATTTGTTTCAATATCAAAGAAGTTCATTTCGAAGCCTTTGAAATCTCAAAACACTTGGCCATATTCCTTGTTTTAAAACTCATGGCCGTTATCGAATAACCAGAATATAAGGGATTCCTTTAATGAAAGCATTTTTAATGGCCAACAATACAGGAACTCGGCCAGAATTTGGGCAGAAATTCAGGGAAAAGGAAGAGAGATGGATGAAAGAACTGAAATAGTCTTGTAATTTGTACTTCAAAATTAAGGTCTTTTAGGTTCCATTATCTCAAAATATAAAGGTAAAATATCATGAAAATGAACAAACTACCAAAAATTTGCGAAAGCTGGATTTATCAACAAACTGGCTACTTTTACAAGAGTATTTCACTTGAGTACCTCTTCAAATGTTTTGGTTAAAAATTATTAAAATGCCATCCTTAAGGCTTTACAACCCTAAATACGCAAAGTTCTTTTGGTGATATGGCCTATAACAATCATGGGTCAAATCACTAAAATGCTTGTTTCTTCTAAATTCCAAACTCAGTCTAAGGGATTTTAATAGATAAAATATATTTTGCAGGTTTGAAACCTAAAACAAGCTGGGCTAGTTTTATCATTTGGTTCGGGCAACTTAAGCCCAGTGATTAAACGCCTTTGGTTGTTCTAGGTCCCAAACCACAAACAATAAGTTTTTATAGAAAAATCGTTTTCCAAGTTTGGAACCTGGAAAGTGTATCTATATCATTTGGCATAGGCAAAGTACCTTGGCTTGTTCAAGTTTCGAAAATCCAAAATAGGGTCATTTTGGGTACTCTATAGCAAATAACAAAAGGACATGGTTAGCATGCGGGCCAAGCCCGCACATGTAGAAATGCAGGCTCTTAATAAATCTATTTTTTAGATAGATTTTTGGACTTTTAAGAAAATGAAATATCTAACATGGAGATCAAGAATATGAAAAAATAAATAAATAAATTTTAAGAACTAGAAATAGTAATTCTATCAAAAAAACATTTGGACTGTTAGTTTCAATTGTTTTTAAATAGACCACGTATTTACATCCATCTTTAAGATAAAAGCTTTATACTTCTGGACCGCATATATTAAAATGTGGTCTACCATGCATGAAACAATTTTTCATAACAAAATAGATGAAGAGATACTCGAGTGAAGTACTATTTTGAAGTAAGCACTCTAATGATAATTGGCCGTCTCTCTCAAACGTCAATTTGGGACCACCTTGATAGGAGTTGATGCTAAGATTCACATGTGACTTCGTGCTTTTTAGTTTATTTCAATGGCTCAAATCGAGAGTCAAGATCTTAATGATGATATCTGGACCGTTTATAGTGTTAATTGTTTTAGCTGGGCCATGATAAGTAGTGGAGGGGAAAGGTGGGGGTGTTCTGTGGTCCTGAATGGCATGCGTCTTTTCGAATTATTGCTCCCATCTCAAACGGCATTCCCCCCTTTTTCCCTACATTCACACATGAAAATAATTTTCTCTTGCGTATAGTTTGATCCTTCACACTTATTTTAGTGAGATTTTCAAAATCTTACTTTCTTTGTCTCCCCATTCACTCTTTCACGTTTCAGACATATAATTCTCTTTTTGGGGTCACTTTCTTCTTTGCACGCTTGTTAGTGAGACCGGAACAAGTGCTTATGGTTTTAAAGGTGAGAAAATGGACCCAAGACAGAGGGAGACAGTGCCAAAGTATGGAAAATAGACAGAGAGCCAAAGGTTCAATCTTCAATGTTCAGTGTGCAAAGAGAGAGAGTGAACAAAACACTACTATATACTACAAGACCATTTATGTTTTGTTACAAAGAGGTCACAATTAGCTCTAATTATAAGATATCAAGATGGATTCTTGGAGTGTGTCATCAAATTTGAAAAAAAAAAAAAGAAACTTTGAACCTATCCAATGACACACTCAGAATCACACACATACAAACACTCACGTGTATATATATATATATATATATATATATATATATATAGTGTGTATATATATATATGGAGAGAGATCCAGTGTATATAAGCTGGTCTTTTTTTTTTTTTTTTTTTTTGCCTCTTCCCACTTGTAAACGGAGCGAGAAGCAAGACTTTCACATATTTATGTTTTGTTTCATGCTTCATCCATGATGAGTAGAGAGCTAGCAAGACTTTCACATATTTATGTTTTGATTCATGCTTCGTACATGATGAGTAGAGAGCTACGCGCTTCAATATATATATTTATTTTTTGGGTCAATGTACTTCTTCCTTATTCCTTTTGGCCTATGCCCATAAATATAAAACCCTTTTTTTTTTTGGTTAGGGCTCCAAGTAGGTTACAACTTGATTTGATCGGAAGCACGTAAAAAAAAATGTTCCCTTGACCCCTTTCATGTGCATTCATTTATATTTATTTATTATTAGATGATCCACTTTGGTAAAAAAATATAATTATTTCTAACTGTTAGATGTGAAATACACCGGCTAGGGATGTATCATGAAGTTTGAAGAAATTTGTTTAAACATTAAGATCCAGTTTTACATCTGAGAGCTAAAAAAAATTGTGATCTTTTTATACAAAAATTAAATAATACTATTATATCATAATCATTATAATCATCATCCGAGCCTTACTCCAACTATTTAAAATCAGCTACACAGATCTTGTTCTATCATTCTGCCCTTAATAAGACCATTCAAAATTCATGTAAAAATATACCAAAGTTTAATGATTGCCTTGATACAACCCTCATTCTTTATCTGGGCTTGGGACTGGCATGACTAAATTGAGACATGACAGAGTTAAACCATATTGTTATGACCTTTCTCCAATTTTTCTCATGACTCTTGCCTAATTTTACTTTAGTTTTCTCTAAAGGTACAACGTATTATTTTAAGTGAAAAACAATAGTGGCCACTGCCTACACTCCCGTAAACGTGGGACGGTTATGTATGGTGGGCACATCTAAGGCAAGCATGCTTCCTCTGCATTATTCAAGAAAGGAAAAACATAAAAATAAATTATTTTGACAAATTAATAAAGAGTTTTTTTTGCTACTGCTTATATTACATGGTACCCATCCATTCCTTACGGTACACAGTAAGGTTAATGTTAACCAGGAAAATGCTTTGTTTTATGAAGTTGTGATCAATCTTTACCATCCATGACCAAGAATGAATGGTGGATACCCTCACAGTGGAGCATTTTTCATAAAACAGTGTTGTATGACATAGCACTATAACTTCCTAATGAAATATTGAGTTGAGAATCCAAGAGAAATTTGAGAAGAGAAACAAGACCAGGATAACATAATGGGTTTGCCATATTCTTAAACTCACAACAGGCAAATGGCTTGTTCATCTCATTTTCTCATCCAACCACACCTTAAGACTTCTTTTAGGGTAGGCAATCCGAAGTTCGGAGCCTTAATATTCAGTGCTTGTTTGGATAACCAGACAATAGGTGGATAGGGAAAGAGTAGATTGTTGCTGCATAATTAAAACTAAGATGCTAGGGTATTTGAAGGGATCGGCGTAGAAACTTAGGATATCCACAACGGAGGCAAGTGTCCATAGAAGGTGATGGATCGCTGTCCTCAATAAGGATGCATCTAATCTGTGCTCATCTACAGGGGCAAACAAGCTCTTAATAAGCAATCACCCTCAATTTACATTCTCATGGGAAGTTTTATTGAGAAAGATCTAATCATATCCCAAGTCTCCGGTGGACCATTCAATCATACTGGTTTTTCAACCACAATAATTGAACATGCAAGGTAGTAAAGTGTCCTATTTCTACAAATTATGATTTTTGTTT